GTTCTAAAATTACATTGCATGAGTGCTAGGGTTGAACAAATGCACGTGGATAAATTATAGAGAATGGGATCCAGCCTTCTCACTTTTAGAGTAAGAAGTTACAAAAAAGCAGGGAAAAGAGGTTAGAAGCTATTATATTCAGACAAATATTTCCTACCTCTGACTTTTGAAAGAGCCTAGAACCAAGGGTACCCCAGGAATAATGGACATACCTAGCACCCAGATATTTACTTCTGACTATTCTAGAATAAAAAGAACCAGGGCTCCTTGGAGAAATGATTAATATTAGTTCTAGGGCAAGCAAAATACAGGTCGAACTTGGAACATCTTATAGAGCCATAACGTAAGGGAATTGTTCAAAAATCAAAAGGATGGGGACATGTCAATGGGACAAAGAAGCCAACCCTAAGGAGTTCCCAAATGGCTAAAACTGAAACAAATAGTATTGCATTATAACCCAAATAATAAAATATACACCCATGAGTCAATACTGATAGAAATAAAAGATTCAATAAATAAATGGGGAAGAAGGGGCAAAACCCTTAGAAGAATTCCAAATAATATATGTGGACATTCCTTTCTTTAGGAGATGGAGCTTAATTCTCCCATCATTGTGTGGGGGCTAGTCTTAGTACCTCACTTCCAGAAAACAGTACAGAAAAAACAAAAATTTTACAAAGGAAAACCATGGCAAATAGTACCCTATTTTGATATCATGTGCCCCATGATGAGACGCGAACAGAATGGCACTTTACCTTCTTTCCCAAGCTGTTACCTCTAGTCTAACCAGAGAAAACAGCAGACCAAGCCAAACTGAGGGACACTTTTCAAAATAACTGACCAGAACTGTTCAAAAGTTTCCAGTTACAAAAAAACAAGGAAAGACAGGAATTATCACAGATGAGAAGATTGAGGAGACAGCAACAAAAAGCAATGTGAGATCTCAGATTACATTCTTAGATTACAATCAAAACAGGACACAAGTGGCTAAACTGGTAAAATTTTAATGAAGTCTATACTTGGAGTTAATGGCCTTTTTACTAATGTAAATTTCTTAGTTTTGAAAATGTATCATAGTTATATTAACATAGGAGAAGCTAGCCAAAGGGTATACACAAACTCTCTGTACTATCTTTGCAATTTTTCTATAAAACTAAAATTATTCCAATAGGAAAGTTCATTTAAAAGACCAAAAAAATGTCCAGAAGCTTCCCATCTCATTCAGACTAGAATGCTGTCTTTACCGTATCCTACAAGACCTTACATCACTGGACTCTACCTCTGCTACTTCTCAGAATACATCTACTATTTTGTTGAATAAATTAATAAATGACCCTTTAAACCAAAGTAAGCCATCTAACTAATCTTTAGAATCATCTGGGAAACTATTTTTTTGTGTGTTTTTGAGACAGGGTCTCGCTATGCAGGTCAGGCTGGCCTTGAGCTCACTTTGTAGCCCAGGCTGGTCTCGAACTCACAACGATCCTCCTGCCTTAGCCTCTCGAGTGCTGGCATTACAGGCATGTGCCACCATGCTCGGCCTGGGAAACTATTAAAATGCAGATTTTTATGGACATATCTCATATTTTTTTGAATCATTCTTTTTGAACTGAGGGGTGGGGACTGTATATTAATTATACACACATACATGTATATAGATTTTTTTTAGAGTCTCATTATGTTGGCTAGGCTAGTCTCAAGCTTGTGGTCCTTCCACCTCAGCCTCCTGGGTAGCTGGGATTAGAGGCATGTGCCACCACATCTGGCTGGAAATTTTTATTTTTATTTTTATTCTTATTTTTTATTTTAAAGAGAAAAGAACAAAAACAAAATAACAAAAACAAAGACAAAAATAAAACAACACAAAAACTATAAAAACGATACACAATTTCAAAATAAGATGATAGGAAATCAGCAATGGTTGTTATATTACGTATTGTTATCTTCAAAGTAGTTGCTCAGAAATTTTTATTTTTAAAAGCACCCTAACCGGGGATATAGCTCAGTAGCACCGTGCCTGCCTGGCACGCGCAAGGTCCTGAGTTTGATTCCCAGTACCAAAAAATAAAAAGTAAAAAAATAAAAGCACCCTAGATGGTTCTGAGAATTAGTTAGATTTGGAAATTTCTCAAAATGGAAAATATTAAATTCTTTTAAATCAGTCAAATAGCTTTTATGAACTAAAAAATAATTGTGACTACTTTAATTGAAGAGAAGAATGTAGACACTTTGAGGTGGCAGTAAACTGAGATGTAAGTGAATTTTCAAGAATAAGGCCACCTTTGAACAGTGTTTCTCAACTAGGAGCAATTTTGCCCCCTAGGGGACATTTCACAATGTCTAAAAGCAATTTCAGTTGCAATAACTAGAACAACTGGCATCTAGGAGATAGAGGCCAGGAATGCTGCTAAGTATCTGATAAGGCACAAGATAATAACCCATAATCCATAATTATGTAGGCTAAAACATCTGTAGTGTCAGGCTTGAGAAACTTTGCCTTAGGATGGTCGATAGCCACCTTAATTGCTGCTTGGCAGCCTGCTTACTCTTCCGCATGAACCAATACATAATTGGGCGGTTTTTAAATTTTCTTCAAGCTTTTACTTGGAAAAAGTTCACACACTATGGGAGAATTGAAAGAACAGCATGAATCTCCCTTTGCCCTTAACCTGAACCTTCCAAGTCAAAATCTGGCCACATTTGCTTCATTGCGTGCCACATACCATGTGCATACCCTTGTTTTTTGTTCTGTTAACATGACACCCAGCATGCTTCTCCTAGACAACTACAATACCATTATCATACCTCAGGAAATAAGAATACTCCATAGCATTTCCATACTTCCTCAGTTTGCGCCACTATAAATGCCATTTATAGCTTTATAGCCCAGCTCACCCCTAATCCAAAATCTAACCAAAGTTCACTCATTGCAGTCAGCTGTTAGGTCTATTCAGATTCTTTTAATCCAGAAGAGTTCGCCATCTTTTCTGTTTTCCAACAGCCCCTGAAGACATCTAGCTAGTTGTCTTATTGAATGTCTTCTACTTTGGATTTAGCTCATTGTCTCCTCATGGTATCATTTAGCACATTTCCTTTCCTTCTTATAAACTAGAATTTAAGTTTTGGCTTGATAAGATTTAAGTGAAATACTTTTGGCAAGAATACTTCACACGCGGTGTGGTGTATTTCTCATTGCAGCTCATCAGAAGAAACACAATGTCAGGCTACTCATCGCTGACACTAAGTTGATCACTGTGTTAATCGAGTTACCACAAAATCTCTGCTGTAAAGGTATGTTTCCTCTCTGAATTGGAATGTATAAATATCCTACTTCTTAGCAGCTTTTCTCCCAATAGTTTTAGCATCAACTGATAATTTTTCTGTAAAGTAATTATTACATTGAGGTTGGAAAATAGTGATTTCCAGTCTGTCATTCCTTACACATTTATTAGTTCACAATAGTCTGTAAACAGCAGAGGAGTGTTCCTTTATTTCCTCTTCTCCTTTCTTTATCACCATGGAGGCATGGATTTCTGTTGTTGTTAAATTATTACCTTCATTTTCTCCCTTTTTTCCTTATCTTCCTCTCCCCTCCTCTTCTCCTCTGACTCAACATCTTTGCCCTCCTCTCCTCCTCCCACTCCCTATCTTTCTGTCTCTCTGTCTGTCTGTGTCTATGTCTCTGTCTCTCTGTGTCTCTGTCTCATTCTCTCTGTCTCATTCTCTCTCTCTCTGTCTCTCTCTCTCTCTCTGTCTCTCTCTCTCTCTCTCTCTCTCTCTCTCTCTCTCTCTCTCTCTCTCGATATTAAGCCCAGAGCCTTGCACGTGCTGGGCAAGTGTTCCACCCTTGAGCTACACCCTCCAGTTTCCAACGTTCTTTGTAATGGTCAAATTGTGCCCAAATTTGTCCGGTGGAAACTCCTTCCAGTTGGCTCTTGTGACTTTCTGACATGACTTCATCAGTCTTTGGGTACTTCCTATGGGTATCTCTGTTTTGTTTTGCTTTTATCTTTTTTGAGACAGAGTCTCACTATGCAGTTAAGGCTGGCCTTGAACTCATTTTGTAGCCCAAGCTGGCCTCAAACTCACAACAATCCTCCTGCCTCATCTCTGGTTTTAAAGACCTATTTCTATGAAGTTTATTTCCTGAAATTCCTATAAGCTCTGTTTTAGATCTAGGTTTTACACTAATAGAACAAAATGCAGATACTATTATTTGGGTTGGAGCAATACTATGGTACTACTTCAATAACATCAAATAAGAAATCATTAATTTAGACCTACTCATATGTTCACATCATTCCTAACCTTCACACTTTAAGTTATTCATTACACGTATTACATGATTCTATTTCTGAAAGCTGCTGAAAGTTTAAAGGTTTGGGTTTTTTTAAAATTAAAATTTACCTTGAGCAAACAACACCCCCACTCTGAGCAGATAAACAGTACTCCGCCCTCTAGAGTCAGTACAGCGTCAAACATGGATAAGGAGAGGGCAACCCTTCAGGAGGGTACAACAAACTCCAGTTCCTCTCCTGCAGACATGTATCCAGTATCTGAAATGTACTGGTGGTGTTCATTGGGGGAATTCTAATTCTACATGAGAAGTTAATCAATCATATTAAATACATAAAATACTGTATCGTTTTATTTATATTTCTTATTTCTTTCTCAGTATGATCAAAGCACATCATGTGCTTTGCAACTTCAGGCAGGTAGTATAAAATGTTAAGCATAATAATAATGACTAAAAATAACAAGCACATAACATGTGACCATTAAGTACTAAGAACAGACTACAAGGAAAGCACTAATGCCTAATTTCTGGTCAGTTATGCAGGGCTTCCTATATGATGTGAAATTTTGATATTTCTGAACAGTAACAGGAAAAGCATATAACAAATGAGAAGACAAAGTAAGAGAAATCTTAAAGTAAGGACAAATCAAATCGTAATGTTAAGAAAATAACCACAGAAATATACCAATTATCCAGAAGTTACCTTTACTTAGAAGGGGAAGGTAGTCAGGTGCTTTGTTCTGAAAAACCCTTGTTGCATCCTCAGCTTTCATGGACACTTCTTTTGTCTGAATTAGGAAAAAGCCTTTACCAACCATCTGTGGAAAATAAAATTTCATTTAGATTTTAAAATAAACATTTGAGATAAAAACAATGTAACCCTATTCAAGCATTTTTCTGCACAAAATTCAACACAGCATGCTGATTTTTGTTTTAGTTATTAACTCTAAATCGGGGCATTTGCAGTAAAACATTCTCAAATATACAGGTTCCTTGGCTCACGAACTCAGTTCTCTCCATGATTCTGGTCCCAAACCAAACTGGACGAGAGCCGAATTAAATTTCCCCATGAGGTTAACATTGAACCCCAGCATTAAATTTGATTTGGTTCTCATCTAACTCCATTTATAACCAGAATCACGGAAAGAATCAAGTCCATGGATGAGGTACAACTTTCCAAGATTCCTTCTTACAGATAGGTGGTTTTGGTTAAGTATTAATAGTGGAGGGACAAAATGACAGATCAGTGAACGTCAGTGACTCAGCTTCTCCAAGGCCAAAGTGTCTGGAGTCTGGAGGACAGTGGCTTGGAGAAGAGCAGAAGTGACAAGAGACCCTGGGAATGACAGAGGAGATAAAAGTAGGACTGTGTGATACAAAGGAGGTGGCCCATGCAGTACAGGAGAAACAGAGGCACCAGTGAGGAGCACAGTTCATAGTAGGTAAATTCATCAACAAGGGACTGGATAAAGAAAATATGGAATCTGCACATAATGGAATACTACTCGGCTATGCAGAATGACACATTTGAGATATTTGTTGGAAAAAATAATGTTGAGTAAAATGAATCAGACACACAAGCTTAAATACCACATAGTATCTTTCATTTGAGTGAGGCAAAGTACAAAGAAAATGATAAAGGATGGATAGAAAGGAACAAAGGGGATGGATCTCTTGCAATAGGGAAGTGGCCCAAGGGAACAGGGCTGGGGTGAGGAGGAGGGGAAGAGGAAATGAGAGGAATAAAGGTGTGCCATGTACAGGATCCTAATAATCCCAATTACTGTAAGCATGATAAGCCATAACATGAGCTAAGACAAATAATATTAACAAGTGCGAAAAAGGGGATAAGGGAACTGGGGGAGGAGAAGGAGGGAGATGGAAGGGGAAGTGGATTAAAATAGAAGAAACACGCTGTAGTACGGACAAGTAACCACTCCCCAAGATAACTGTAAAATGTATGAATTGCAAACGTACTAATAAAAATAAAAAATTATTTAAAAATTAGTACTGTAATGCCTACTGTTAAGATTGAGTCAAATACTAAATGTTAATTATCCTCAATTTAAAACAATTAAAGTAGGTGTGGTGGCATGCATCTATAAATCCCAACACTCTGGGAGGCTGAAGCAGGAGGACTGTAAATTCCAGCACAGCCTGGGGAATTTAGCAACCCAGTGAGACCTAAAATAAAATGTAAAGAAAGGGCTGAGGATATAGCTCAGTGCAAAGGGACCAGGTTCAATCCCCAGTGTTGGAGAAGAAGAAATACAACGTAACTACCAGATGGAAGCTTTAGTTTGGTGATACTGAAAATGTCCAATGAGAGGAGAGTGGTTAAATAAATTATGTATTTACATGATGAAATACTATAGTTAATTACATTTATCATAGCTCATTAGCTATAACAAAAATATTAAATGGAAGGAATCTTATGTAATAATTTTTAATTTTAAAAGCCATGGTACAAATTTGTATGGTATAGCACAATATTAGATTGAATTTATGGAGTACTTACTATATACCAGGCAGTTTTATGTACTTTACATGAATAATACATTTATCCCTCTCTTGATGTAGGCATTCATGTTATGGATGAGATAACAAAGGGAGGAAGTGGTTAGGACACTTGCCCAAGGTTATAAAATTATTAGGTAACAGCTATGATTCGAACCTAGTTCATCTGATTACAGACTAAATAATTCTAAATATTATTCCTAAAAAGATTGCTTAAGGTATAATACAATTATGAATGATTTAAAAAATTATCTTTACTATTCTTTATTTCTATAGTTCACTGTAAGTATATATTAATTTTAAAAATAATTATGACAGTAAGTTTTTTAAAATGGAAAGTTATTGCAACCACATTAAGTAAAACTTACTAGGAGAGAGAGAGAGAGAGACAGACAGACACACAGACACTGCCAAAAAATATACATCAGGAAAAGAAAGTTGTATAAATATTTTAATACTAAGCTTACTGAGACATCATAAGATTTATACAAGTTACCTTTGGCCTCTACAATTATAAGAAGTGCACAAACTGGTGGTCATTAGCTGTCAGACAATTATTAGTACAGAAAACTGCTGAAGTGTATATACATTTGTTGGCAGGCTTTGATATATATATATTTTTTTTTTCTTACTTTTGAAAAATAAAAAGTAGAAACAAAGAAATATCTCAACCAAGGTGCTATCAAAGATGTCACTGTCCATTGTCATATAAGTGTACATGATTAGTTTACTCCCCAGTTTTAGTTGTCCTTCATTATGGAAATAATGCATGTTCTTTTTAAAATCCAGAGCTACAAAGAAGAAAACTGTGGTCATAATCAACTTCCCAAGAATAGCCACAATTGGTAATATTTTAGTGTATATAACATTTCAGACTTACCTAATTTTTTTAAAAATCAGTTACATAATATTTTACAATTTTTTCCTTGTGAATATTTTCCAATTATTCTACTATAAAATCAGCTTTAGTAGCTGATGGTATTTCATCCTATGGTTACATTATTCTATATCATGTAATCACATTGGCTCAAACTCCTAATTTTTTTAGAACTTTCACTCAATGCCATCTCCTTAAAAAGAAACATACACTTAAAAATTGCAGGAAATTACATGGTTGTAACTGCCAGATGATAAAGTTACTTAAAAGACCAGAAACAATCTTATTTCCATTTCTGATTTTCTATACTACTTCTCACCTATCATTTTATAGTCAAATGCATAAACTGACAAAATTTGGATTAACTTTAAATACCATTATCTAAACAATGAGCTATGAAATTATATTTTAATATATTACTGAAAATATTTGAAAAGACTTCTTTCCATAGAAATTCTTCTATTTCTAAAGATTTAAAAATAGTGGTAACTAGTCAGCTTAAATAATTAAAATAATTCAAACTACTTTAACTCTAATTTATCCTGTATATATCTGTAATGTTTATAAGAGCAAGCAAGAAGTCTGACCTTCACGTGAGAAAACCAAGACTCAAAATTTTTCTTGACTCCATATGGAATGTGCTTTCTGCAGCTTTCCAAGCTTCTCATGCTTTCAAATTTTATATTTGAGAAAACATTATATGTTTGTAAGAACAATGTGAAACAAAATTCTGTGGTAATCCTGGGATTTAACAAAGCTAGAGTATACAATCACTTTTCTAGTCTAAATTGGCCTAGGACCCTTGTGTTAATGATATGAGACTCAAGTTTTTCTTTTCCAACTCAGAATTAACTAGTTTCTACAAATATTTCCCTGGGAAGTAATCTCTCTTACCATAATACGTACCTTATGTCTTTTGTCTTTCAGAATGTTTGGATATTCTTTTCACATATACTTGGCATTTTCTTTTTCTTTCTTATTTTTTCTCTTTTTTCCATTGTTTCTGTGCTTTCAGAATTAGACAGCTGTAGCCAAAGAGTCCTAGGTTGGAGGGCTCTTTAGTCCACATGATTTCGGTCACATTCCTGCTCTACCTGGCATGCACCAACTTTCCTTCACCACTGAAGTGGTGTAACAGCGTCATATTTAAGGGTTAAGGCTGTAGCCTACAGAACCAGACTACCTATGTATGAGTCACAGCTCTGCTGTTTACAGGCTGAGTGACCTTTCGCAAATTACCCTCTCTGTGATTCATTTTCCTTATCTGTCAGAAGGGGGAATGACAGCATCTATTTTATAGAGTTGTTTTGAGTATTTAGTTAATTCATTTAAATCCCTTCCAATTTCTTGCATAAACACTATGTAAGCACTAGCCATTAGTGTTGTGAGATTTTTGCTATTATATATCAGAAAATCATCTAAAGAATATCACTCTTCCTGGTTATATTCTTTTTGAGAGTACACAACACTGCCATTGCACAATCAGATACTGCAGGTTTTAAAGCTAAGAACATTTAGTGACTCATGAAGAAATACTATTTGTTTTGATGGCTTTTTTCTTTAAAATGTTAAATATTGTTTATGACCATTCCTGATTACCTGCCAAAGAGTTTAACCTGAAAATTTAATTTTTAAAGACTAAATATAGATTCTTTAAAAAAATCACCATGAATGTATTTACCTACCCAATGCTGGATTAACACAGTGAATGTTGAATTAGCACAATGAATGTATTTACCTCTCCAACGTTGGATTAACATGTGATTAGGTAGAAAGGCCAGAGCATATTTTTCTATACTTTATCAGATTCATAATCTGCTTTTATCAGATTTCCATAATCACAAAAGAAAATATTTAAATTATACTTTGGCTTCTGTTGTCTTGAAAACTGTACCTCAGATATACTTTGTACATTTCACACATGGGTTTTCTACATCATAGAATATATAACTATAGAGAGGTAGTCATGTTTTAGTTTTTTTCCCAAAATTATTCATTTTGATATGTTCCAACATTTTAAATAATCCCTTCAAGAAGAGACTTGAATTTTCCATTCATTTCTCCATTTCTGGAAGTTTGGTTTTTAAGTTCAAACAAATTCCTCCTGAAGAAATGATTAATGGATAATCAATACATCCTACTGCTGCCTCCCTAATAGAGCACCTAGTAACAAAGCAACTGCTGCTTCTGGAGCCCCTCTGACCCCAATTATTTTTCATGTGAAGCTGATACCCAAAGAACTCTCCTCTTGAGCTCACCAAGAGCTGCTGCTCATAAGCCTATTATAACCTTTGCCATCCTGGGAATGGCATCCTGACTCCCATCGCAAATTTCCATAACCACCCCTCTATGGCAACAGGGCAGCAGAAAACCAAAAACACAGTACCACCCATCTTTTAGTCACAAGAGGTCCAAACATGTATTCCTCAATGTCTTTTCTAT